GGGCAAGTCTAGTCAGTGGTTGCAGCTGTAATGGAAGCCATGTGGGAGGCAGCAGGTCTGGACCATGATGTCTGCAGCAGGGGACAGTTACAGATGGAAGGCAGATGGCAGCAGAGATACGTGGTAGCTGTGGATGGGTAACTGTGTACCTTGACACCTGCTGTGAAATTCATACCGAGAGGAAATTCCCCTGAGGCATCCACTTTTATAGCTATATCAAGTATGCCACACTACCAAAGAGGCACCATCAGGCTGTGACCTAATGGATAGGTTGGACTTCACCCATGCCTACCCACAAATGTAACAAATTGACACACAAGCTAAACATCACAGGACACCCCTTGTAAATTTGGCATTTGCACACAACTCTTCAACCATATATGATCTCCAAAGACAATAATAAATTCATACTTGCACCTAACATGACACACTTGTAAAAACAAAAATTCACCAACCCTACTACATGTTTTTTAAAAATAATAGTTTTATTGGCATATACTTCACACAGCATACACTTTAAGCATTCCATCATATTAAGAATTGTGCAAGTACCATCATAATCAATCTCAGAACATTTTCTTCCTAAATCCATTGTTGTTAGTTCCTCATTCCCCCCTATTCTCCTTTGCTCTGTCACTAGGTTATTATTAATGCCAGTTACGGTCCCTACAGCAGTACATATCCTGGATTTCATATACAGATAATCATACAAAATACAAACAGGGAGCAAACCAAACCCAACTACAACGACTAGACAAAAAATAGAAAAAACATCAATATAAAAGAATGCAGAAAGTTTTCAAACTGAAACTTTAAAATGGGAATAAAATGAGAAGTCATTACATTTTAACCTTAGTAATTCTGACATTGACTTTACAATGCTCGCTATGTGTTAGCAAGGTTACTCACATCCTGGACTGTGTTCAGAGGGGATTCATCAAAGGCTTAACCCATGTAGGAATCCTGCAATGGATATTGAGCTTCCACTGTAATCTATAGCCTTCTGCAAATTGGGTGGGTGTTCACAATTAAAGCCCTGATACCATTCCCTCCTCTAAAGTTGAGCTTTATTATTTGTAATTCTTGTATCATACAGGTTGGTTGGTTTCTTCCATGTGGACTTGGTTGATGCCTCACTTAGATGGCTGCTTGTTTTAAGACAAGATTTTAAAACCCCAGATTTATTTTTTTTCTGATAGCTAGACCCCATCTAGTTTCTTCACTACACTTTTCTGTAGCACCCATATCTTCAGTGATCTCTTCATGATAGTGAGTATTGAATAGGGCCATGTCATAAGAACTAATTGTTCATAAATTGTAGTCATGTCAGAACTTGGTTGCTCTAGTTTACCACCTGCTGTGGGATCCATTCCCAGCCAACTCAACATTAGGAAGAACTGAGCCAGGTGTGTTGGAACCAATACTGTCCTCACACCATCCACACCTGGATCAGGACTTGGCTTCCCAGGAGTGATGTTGGGGAGTGGGTCTTCCATATGCCACACTTCCCACCATTTTGGGTTGAGAATTCAGCTGGCATTATAATTTATCTACTTGTACGATAACACTCAGGATTTGGTTTTCAGCAACATCAACTCTGTTATTAGAAGACAGAAAGCTTTCTTTCATGGTGCGAGCAGAAATGTTTGGTGTTTCATGCAGATCTTGCTTTCATAATTATAAGCTCATATATTTCCTTTACCAGCCAACCAACTGTTCTAGACTTCTCAACCTGACAACACCCCCAAAGAGGCATCATCAGGCTGTGACTACTTTGTAGGTTAGATTGTACCTATACCTTCCCACAGGTGTAACAACCTAATCATAAAGACTTGATATCTCTCAGGAGACTCTTGGGACACACAATAGTTTTAAATAGAAGCCAGTGAGGAGGCACTGAGATCCAAGCAATCATGTCTTCCCCTATCCCACATCCTGTTCTTGCAGCTCGCTACAGTTCTGTCTATTAAATGAGTTGGGAGGATTAGTCTTTTGCATCTTTGTACATTATGTTTATTTGTGTTCTATGTAGTTCATATATCCAAAATATGTAAATAGTATGATTATTAAAGCCCAATTCACCCACAAGGCCCAAAAGACAAGGCAAAGTTGGCAATTCAAGGCAAGGGAAAGTTGGCTTTGAGATGAAAAATTATTTATTTTCTCTTTCACTAAAGATTGAATGTGATGTAGAAAAAAATAAATCAATTATTAAATCAGCAAGTCAATCAATAAATGTATCGAATGGATTAATGGATAATGTAAAAATCAGTATCCACTTAAAAAACTCAAACCAAATCAGACAACGATCAAGTCAATGCTGACTCATAGTCACCCTATAGGACAAGGTAGAACTGCCCCAGTGAGTTTCTGAGACTGTAACTCTTTAGGGGAGTAGAAAGCATCATCTTTCTCCTAGGGAGTGGCTGGTGGTTTTGAACTGCTGACCTTGCAATTTTGCACTCCACTGGGTAACCACTATGCCACCAGGGTTCCTGGGAGGGGTGGGAGGTGGACAGGACATCCATATGAGTTAGTGAAGCTGTGTGGATTACATTTGAAATCAGACAGTTTGGATAATTTGAGGTTGGGGACACATTTGTTATATCCATGAACTTAAATCCATGAACATCTGTGAACTGGAACTAGTGATGTTAACAGTGGTGGGTACTAAAGATAACATATATGCAATGCCATTGCATCAAGTAGTAATGAATCTTATCTGTTAGTGTAGATTAAGATGGGTTTCTTCTTCTTATAATAAGCACCATGAGCATTTCAACCTCGCCAGTCTTTATTTCTTTTATGCAATATTTAATTATTAAACAATTAATTTCTTTTCTTTATTTTATCAACATTCATCTTTAATGATGCCAACTATAGTTTTTGGAATTATGGTTTAATTCATTCTGTAACATTATTGTCTTTAATATGAATCATGTCTTATCACTGATTTCAAACTAATAAAACAGTCAGATTTCATCAATATTTACTTTGTTTTCTGAATTTTGTTATGCTGCCTCAAACATTGAAGGCAGGTTGTTTTGTTTATCCAAGAACTGAGTTTAGAAAATAGTTTCAAGATGAGCCAGAATGCTTTAGCAAAATTAATTGTATGCTGCAAAAAATATTTCCTTTTAGAGTTGAAAACTACAGATAGTTGAAAGCAAAGCTCTTTGCTTTTCTTGTCCTGGATTTCTACTGTGTTCAAGCTGAAGTACAGGTAGATCAAGTGACTTGGCCTAAGACATATCCAGAGTTAGTAGCAGAGAGAGAATTTCCACTGGGAGTCTTGGGGATCAGTGCTTTTCCTTTTCAACGTAATCGTGCCAATATTCAAGATCTTGCTTAATAGTACTAATATTAATTGTGATTACATTCATTACATGTTCTTCATTGTGACTCTTTATTAGGTAATCCTCGGGTTTTTCCTTCATTTCCTGAATCTTGGTTTCCTAATTTCTAAAACTAGGAGGGTTTTGAAGGGGAAATCCACATGGTATCTACATTAAATTCTTTTTCAGCTCTGCCATTGAGTAAGAGTAATGATGCTACAACTTGGGCAAGATTTTCGGAGGAAAAAAGAAAGGTCTTCTTCTTCCTCTATTAAGTTTGTGAGGATGTTCAGAATCAATTAGGTGCCTCACTGCGGTAAATATTGCAGCCTGGTCTGTGATCACACGTCACTATCTGGAGTGCATCGCACTTTGGGATTCTATCTCATATGAAGAGCATCGCTGTTGCTCTTTCCGTTTTTAAAAATACTCTCACACATGGTGAAAGTGAGTCTCTGAGGAGTCAGATGACTTTTCCATGTGAGTTGTTGGCAGAAACAGGCTTCAAATACATATTTGTTGAACTCTAAAATATATTTTCTTTCATTCTTTCTTGACTAGACAAAACATGTTCTTCCCTCTGACTAAAAGGTCCATGTCTCTGCATATTCTTTAATTATAAGACTTTTCAAATATGTTGGTAAATAGAGGTAACATGAAGATCAAATTATAAAACAAACAAGCAAGCAAAAAATGCTGGAATATAGTGCATCAAAAGCATTATGTAGCTTGCACAATCTCACCCATCATTTACAAATATATAACCTTATCTTCAATGCCGGACTCATGACTTTCTGAAGGCATTATTTGTATTCATGTTCTCTTGTGACAGGTATGTGTCAGTAGCTGGTTTGGAACTCACAGAACTGATGGCTTTGAGTCACGTATTTTGGGTACAAATTCTCAATTAGTCATTATGTCATCCTTCGTGAGCTGCCTATTCATCCTGCCTTATTTTCCTTATCACTGAGATGGGAGTATTGAAGGTCTTTCAAGGTTGGCATTGTCCATTTTAAATGAGATTGCTACTAATTGGTTTTCAGTCAGCTCTGATTCATGGCAGCCCCATGTATAACGGGAAAAAATGCGGCCAGATCTTGTCCCATCTGTCCCGTTGTTGGTATGTTCAAGTTTACTGTTGTGACCATGCTTTATTTTGAGATCCTTCCAAACTAGAGAGCTCATCCTGCAGCACTGTGTTACACAATGTTCTGTTGTAATATCCAAAGTGTTTACTGACTAAATTTCAAAAATGTGTCACCACCCTTCTGACTTTGATGTAGTCTGGAGGTTCTTAAAACCTGTCTACTCTGGGTGACATTGCTGTCCTTTAAAATACCACTGGAGAATTACCACAGTATGACAAAATGACATATGAGTGTGAAATGAGATAATGTTTGTTAAATAGATTATATAAAACCTATGGAATAAGCACTCCCAAAATAAGCTTTAAGGATTATTAATCCCCTGCTGCCCAACTTGGGGTTGAGCTCCATATGGAAAACAAAAAGAAAGACTTCTCTGGTCATATTCTTTACAGGAGTAGGGAATACAGGTGGGGATTAATTAATGCATGTTGAATGACATTGAACTACATCCACGCTCCTCTCATGCTTTCCTCACGTTCCTTTTCATCTCTCTCCTTGGCGCGTGCTGCCATGGCAGCTGACAAAATTTGGACGTCAGTTCAACACAACAAGATGGAGCTGACCCATGTGCGAGGTGCGGACCCAGAAAACCCGTATATCACGGTCCTAGACTACGGAGGCAGCACGGAGCAGCTGGCTGCCATGATTGACGGTTCTGAGCACTGTGAGCAGGAGGTGGCCTACTACTGCCGAAGGTCCCGTCTGCTCAACACACCGGGTAAGGTTCATCGCTCTAACAGCTTCTCTGTGTGGGACCTGCAGAGGTGACCCGTGACAGATAATACCCCACATTTCGAAGATCAGGGAAAGGAGTATGTCTCAACAAAGTGGCTGACGTTAGAGAGGCGTCATCAAAAATAATGACAGCTAATGTAACAATGCCAGCTCTGATGCTCAGGCTAAAACCTGGGGAAGTGGCATAGCCTCTCCAGGTTTTCTTCTCTCTTTCAAAAGGCACAGTGGCAAGACCCTTTCTATGACTGCTATGAGAAGGAGACACTTTTTGTGAGTGGTATCCTTGGGACAGAGCGTTTGAGCGAGGCAAGAGGAGGTGAAAAATGACTTTTTCATGCAGAGAGACTAGCATATAAGAAAACGCCAATGGGGGGGGCAGGGGGCAAGAATCTGGCCAATCTGAGTAAAAGATTAAGTAGGAAAGTGGGAGGACAAAGTATGCATGAGGGAGAAGTATTAGGCTAAGAGGCTATCGAGGTGGACAAAGACAAACCTTGTGTGTTCGCAGTATTGATGTTACTTAAAAACTGGAATCCATAACTAAGATGATTCTTTTTAAATATATGCTTTGCTTTTAAGAATTTATAGATTAATTCTACCTATTTATTTTTACCTTTGGGTATTTTGAAGGATGAATGGTTAAATTAATTGATTTTCTTGCAAAAAACTTCTAGATCTGCTTCCCCAGACTATTAAGGTCCAATGACTATTGCTTCATGATCTTGCCAAAATGGCTAGAGGGTATGTCAAAGTTTATGCATACTTTGAGAGTGTATAGTCTTGGGAAATGTCAAATCATATTTGTTTCTTGGCAGAAACAAAACCTGAGAACCACAAGGATATTGAGTGTCTGAGAAAGGATGTCACAATCCTTAGTCTCAAGAAGCTTTTAATTCAAAGCTTGGGGAAAAGCTTGAGAACATTAGGCAATGAAATGTCAACAAAGGAGAAGGGCACTTAACTAAATAGAACACACTATCTCATCGATCTAAAATCTTTAGGAGAGACATTTTTCCACATAAATGAATTTTCCAGATAACTGTCGCATTTTCTTTTTAGCACCAAAAGACTTTGCAAAGAAATTTTAACTATTGAAAATGAAAATCTTTCTCAAATGGATTACATGCTTTCTGACACAGAGAATTCTGAAAAGAATATGTAACCTTTTCTTT